CAGCTTCAGCAAAATTTCACAAGAAACCCACAGAACTTCTTTAGGTCTCACTAGTTCCTTCTGCATTCATGTGTGAATTTAGTTCTATGAAATTTTATTCCGTGTATAGACAAACCTGCTGAACGTCCATGGTAGTCAAGAGTCAAGATGGCCCCATTGTTGTGGACCTTTTTATAGCCACGGTCATTTTACCTGTCCTGACTCCTGACATTGGTGGACATCATTTGATCCAATGAAGCTATTATTCTGCCGTATGCAGATCAGTATACCAAGCACAGTGATAGATAGTCAGGTAAACTATAACCTACCACCTAGGAGTTCAAGAGGGAACCTGACAGACAGGGTTCCAATCTTTATTGGCCACTGTGACTTTGGGAAAGTATCTAAGATCATAACACAGTTTGTTCCTCAATAACATGGGACTAATAATAGAACTGTAAAAAAAATGAGTGAGTTAATTTTTTTTAAACATGGAAATATCTGACGTATAACAAAGAGATAGATGTTATCATCTAAGAGCTCAATCCTGTGGAGGATGGGAAAAATTCTAATTAGGTCAGCCTGTGTTAAATAATGCTATGTAAATATAAACACAGAATAATTCAAGGGCGGTACAAAGGAGGAGCAGTAAAGTCTAGCTGAGTCAGGCTCCACGGAAAACAGAACATTTGTGCTGGGCTTTGAAGTATGAGTAAGACTTTGACTGAAATAGAAGGGAGGGAAAGATGTTCCCGGCTGATAACCGGCTTTTCTGTGTCCGGAGGCATGAGAGGGCATAGGCCACTCTGAAGACTGAAAGGCAACAGCAAAGGCTTCTGGGAGACTGGAAGAACAGAGGGAGCCAAGTCCGGGGAAGGCTGAAACAAAGTTTTGGAGATGACTTGCAGGTGTCGCTGGAATTGTCACCTCAGAATCCTCGAGGAGAACAGAAAGGAGAAAGGTGCCTCCAAAATGGGCCGATAATAGGGTATATGGAAAAGGATGTTCTAAATTAAAAATCCCGGACAGTGGAGGTCAGTTCCAAACACGAGCAGCTGCCTGCCACACCCAGTCCGTACTCTACCACAAGCTTCCATTCTGGAGTGTTCTAAGCAAATGGAGACTGACTGTGTGGATTCGCACACCCCGATCTGATCTGGCCCTGCCAGGGCAGTTCCGGCTTCACCCAGGTGTCCTCAATTGCTTTCACCAGCTGCTCAAACCTCCCCGGGCTGGCTCTCCAAAGGAAGCCTCTGCCTGGAGACTGGGTGCTTCCTCCTTTCTGTCCCCAGCATTGGCAGTGTCAGCTTTGGGTCACCTTGCTAGGTGTCCCCTTCCGGCTCTGGAGTAGCGATCTCTGGGCCTGCCTCAGCCTGTCTCAGTTTTCCTGCTTCATTCCAGAGAGCCTCTTTTTGGCCTCCCGTGTTGGCTTTCTATCTGAGGCCTGTGGAAGTCTCCAGCTGTCTTCCACAACTTCCCCGTGCTTCTCTGGTCTCAGGTCTCCCGGTGACCTTGGGTGTGGCACAAAGAACAACTGCTCTGAAAAATACGTTCTCCATCAATCATTTGTGGTTCTCATTAGATAAAAAGAAAGGGCAAGGACAAAGAGAGCTTATTGCCCTTGCTCACCTCAGTTATAAGGTTAGCTCCACACAGACTGGGGGGCAGGGGAGATAATTTTCTGGGGGCAGCTGACACATTTCATTTGTTCTTTCATGGCTATATCCATGAGTAAAAGAAAAAGACATTGTAACAAATGGCCCTTGCTTGGTGGATAGTAGTGATGGTTTATGGTTTGGCTCTGAAAACTAAGAAACCAAATAATAAAAACTTGCCTTCCCTCCAAACAGAGTTGAGTATGTCAAATAGTCAAAAATTATGAAGAGGGCATGTAATCAAGCAAGACTTGAAAATAAATAAATACACACCTTTAATCCCAGCACTCGGGAGGCAGAGGCAGACGATCTCTGTAGGTTCGAGGCCAGCCTGGTCTACAGAGTGAGTTTCAGGACAGGCACCAAAGCTACACAGAGAAATCCTGTCTCAAAAAAACAAAAAAAAAAAACAAAAAAAACAAAAAAAAAAANAAAACAAAAAAAACAAAAAAAAAATAAAAAAAAAAAAAAAAGGAACTCCTAAAACAACCCTGGCCATCTCCCAGGCAATAGGGATGTCTTTCTTGTCTGGGAAGGGTGTTAACCGCCCAGACATAATCCATCCACTTCATGTTGTTCCATCAGAGGTAGGGCTTAATGGTCCATTTTGTCAACACCATACCTTCCCAACAAGCAGGTCATGTTGTCCATCTGACACACAGTCCCCTTGCGGCTATCACGTACCAGTCATTCTTCACGTAAACAAGGAAAACACTGAGCTGTGTCCTTGAGAGGAAAGAGGTCACAATAAAAGCCCAGTTGATCAAGAGAAAAGAAAGACAAAATGTTTCTAGTTTTATATCCCAACCCCAACGATCCAATTATAGGTTTGGAAAAATAATAAACTTTTTAAATTCCCCAAGTCCCTACCCAAAACCTTTTACATAACTCGACCTTGTGTCGCTCACAGCCAGGCGCGCAGCAACAGTGGTTTTCTTCCCTTTGTCCTGCTAGGGAGCAGCCTGGGAGAAAAAAGACAAAAACAGGAGCAAGGGCTCAGAAGGGTGAGAGATTAATCTATTTAAGAAATTATATCCTACTTCTCACTGCAAGGAGATGCCCTAGGCTAGGAAGAAAGCGCATTTCCTTCCCCCTTCCGGGCCACCATCCCCTACAGCCTCCACATTCCTTCCCTAGTAGTGTGTTTTTGTTTTGCTCTGCAGTGCTGAGAAACAACCCCAGGGCCTTGAACACTGAGTCACACACACCCCAGTTCTTTCCAGGGAAAGTTTTAATTGACTCTACTTTTCAAAAGTCTAAGAGGGTCTCAAATTAGGAAGCATAGTAAATCCCTCAAGAGTCTTGTTAAAGTGCCGTGTTTGGAGTCCCTCCTTAGACCTAGCAATACTGAATATTTCGGAGATTAAACCTGTAGCACATTTTATGCAGCACATTTGAAACAAATTCCTTAAGGAATCCTGGTTTATGGCCAGGTTCCAGAATAATTTTAAAAACACCAGATCTAAGTGCTTTGTTCACCCGGGTGTGGGGCACAGGGGGCCAGTCTCGAAGGCCCTTACCCTAAGGCTTGCTTGCTTCCTGGAATTTTAGGCAGGCCCTGACAGGGTAAGTCACACAGCACAGTGGGCAGCACTTCTAGGAATACTTCCTGGCCCAAGAAAGACTCTGCTGCACAGGGTTACCAAGTCTACTCCTACTCAATGGATATCGACTGTGTCGTGCTGGCACGACCCATTCCTGAACTCATGTTTTAATCTGTGTCTCCCAAAATCCTTCTGTATGCAATCATCTCCCCCACAGTTGCTGTCACAGCGTCGTTGTTCTCTAAATGTTTACTCAAGGTAAGCACAGTGTTCCAGATACAACCAGGTCACTACCAGTTTTTCCTATAGAGAGTCCCGTCACTGCTTCCACTCCTTGCTTGCCTGACCTAGAATGCTGCAGATTTTCTAGCATAGAAACAGGATATTGGGGCTGGAGAGATGGCTCAGTGGTTAAGAGCATTGCCTGCTCTTACAAAGGTTCTGAGTTCAATTCCCAGCAACCACATGGTGGCTCACAACCATCTGTAGTGAGGTCTGGTACCCTCTTCTGGCCTGCAGACATACACACAGACAGAATATTGTATACATAATAAATAAATAAATAAATAAATATTTTTTTTTAAAAAGAAACAGGATATTTTGTCAAAAATTCTCTTGGAAAAGGGGGTCAGTATTATTGGGGGCATAGGAATTGAAATTCTGAAGGGGCAGAGGCTTGAAGTTCTGATTATATTGCTTTGAAGTTATTTAGTCTACATTTTAATCTTTTTAATTTTATTCAATTTTGTTTTTTATTTTATGTGTGTGTGTGTGTGTGTGTGTGTGTGTGTGTGTGTATTCACGTGCACCACCCAGGACTTATGGAGGTCAGGGGCCAACTCTCAGCAGTTGGTTCTCTCCTTCCTCCTGTCCCTGGGGACTGAACTCAGGTTATCAGGTTTGAGAAAACAGCGCTTTTCCCCACTGAACCATCTTACTGGCCCTTAATTTACACTTTTATGTTTCAGAAGAAACTAAGAGTCCCACAGCCTCTCGGAGTCCACAGGTGTGTAGAGGCAGACTCTCACAAACGATTTTAAACCACAGGAAAATGTCCTGGTAGTTGATGGTTTAATACAGCGGGGAATCACCCGGTGTCCAGAAGCTCTTAAATATTAAAATCAAATCACCTGAGCTCTTGGCAGGACGCCTCCCTCACCCCGCTCCAGCTCCCAGCAGCTGGTTCAATCTGGCCAACATTTTCATTCCTCCCCCCCCCTCCTACTCCCGTGGTAGAAGAAGCAGTAAGAGTTTAAATTTTTTTGAATTTTTTCTAAGAGAAATAAGAAGCCTTCCATGATCCAGGAGTCCTTTCTTCCTTAGATTAGAAAATTGATACTAAATGACTAAAACTAATAAGAAAACATGGACTAGCTTCAACCTCATCTGTACTCGCAAAATTGGGCGGGGCTCAAGAGGTCATCTTCTCTAGGCCTAGGGTACTTTTAGCTTTGTTCCTGCCACTCGCCAACGATTCTGATTGCTAAGGATACTCAAATCAGTTCGGACGTTGGGCCACAAAAATCCTTGAAGTAGGCAGAAGATAGAGCGGCCTCATATTCGCAGACTCTCTTCATGAGTAGTTGCAGAAGTCTCCTTACACAAGGATCAGGAGGTAACCCCAATCATGTCCATTGACTGTATGCTGAGCCTGAGAACCGCACCTTCTAAGACACCCCAGTAGCAGGCCTGCAATCCTGTAGCCGCTCTGTTCCTGCCCCAACTCTAGGAAGGTGACAGGCATCTGATCCCGCTTGGGGCTGCATAGAAGGCGGCCAGGAAACTGCAGGATGGATCTCCTAGCCCCTCATCCCAACCCCAGGTGTGCTGTGCCTCGCTCTGGGGGAGGGATTGGGGGCGCAAGCTCCTGCTGCGCGCCCTGGCCTGTGCAGACTCCACACACCTGGCCACCCCACGGACTTCATTAAGGCTGCGCCTGTGGTACCAGGGCGGGCTGAGAGGTGGAAGTCTGTGTCATGGAGCCCACCGAGAAGCTCTGCAGGAAAACGCGGGGTAAGCACACATCAAGATCGACCTTGGTGAGGGTTTACTGAGCCCGTGAGGTCTGCTGGCCACTCAGTCAGCCTTAAGAGGCTGCTTAGGTCTATGGGTGATAGTGGGAAAGGGAGGTGACCTCCCCACATCCTTTTTTAGGTCTCCAACATTGCTATAATCTAGGTTCGGAGACTCTTCACCTCTCTCAGTACAGTTCCTTAATCCAACAAGGTCCAAATTTGTTGAGCGTCCACTATGCACCATGTTTCTTACTGTGCTACACGCCCTCCTAAACTGTTACTTGTCTGAGTGTCCCTTGGTCCACCCTGATCCCCTCACCCTCTGACTGCACCCCCTCTCCACCTCTCTAAAGTGGTTCCACGGCATATCGAGAATCCCTTGAAAGAAGCTTCAGAGTCAGGGATTGCCCCCAAGAGCTTTATGTATTGTTAGAAAGTGTTTTGTTAGCGACAACATCAAAGGCTTTTTAGTTAGCCTTCCTTTATACATTTTCTGTTTCATTGGAAATGACAGAAACTCCCTGAAGTAAATTTTATTTTGTCAGGAGTATACACAGAAAAGAAGAGGATTGTTTGGGATCCCGGGAAAAGTTCCAGGTGGTGGCTAAGGGCAACCTGTGCCCCTGTACCCCAGCCCTGTGTGATCTTGGGTGGATTATTCCTCAGGCCCCCATTTCATCACCTGGTGGGAAAATGCCTGCCTCGTGGGGATCCAGTGGGTACAGCGGGCGCATATTAAGTGGGCTCAGAGTTGGGGGGTGAGTTTTACGATGGTGTGAAGGGGGTTTTCCTTCCGGATGGGTGCTTTTCCTCACCTGTAAAAGACTTGAACTGGGTGGAAGAGTGGCGGCAGCCTAGCTTGGGGGCGCGGGGTGGAGGGCGCTAGTCTGAGGAAAGCCAGAATAATAGGTCTGGTTTTCGCTTCCTACTCACCCCTCCCCTAACAGTCGTTTATTAGAAAGATCCGAACTGGTACCTGTCCCCTGAACGTGCACCTCTGATGTCTGGGAAAAACTAAGATGTGTACCCAGCTTTCCACTGTTCTCACATTAAGACCCCATCAGGGTTGCCATAGTTGTTTAAATTTTCCAAAGCAGTTGGAGCAGCTAACCCGGTGGTTCTCAATCTGTGACCTCCTTGGGGGGACTGAACGACTTTTCCACAGGGGTCCCAGTCACATGAGACCAATTGGAAAACACAGGTGTTCACATATGCTTCATGTCAGGAGCAAAGTTACAGTTATGAAGTAGCAAGGAATTTTTATGGTTGGGGTTACAGCTGCAGCATCTAATCCATCCTCCGTGTCTCCTTCCAGCCTCATTTGGAAAACAGGAAAATGAAAGCTTAGGTTCTCACAGCAGATAGATCAGCTGTAGGGAGAAAAGGGGCTCTGGCACCTAACACCAGTGGTTGCTGCTCTCCACAGGTCAGGATGCTGGAGGCAAGCCCAGGATTGCTGGACTGGAGTCGGAGGGACCATTGAAGGGTTCTGCCCCACCTCCTGAAGATGACCAAGGCAAGCAGTCCTCATCCTCCAGGGCTGGCATTGGAAAGAGACCACCATCGGAGACCTCTGGGGAATTAATGAGGGATGGCAGCTGCAGAGGGTGCCACAACAAAGACCCAGCACCAGCTGCATGTAGTCCCCAGCCCCGGGAAGACATTTCTTCTCCCCTAGAGAAAGAGGTAAAGAAAGTGAAGCCATCCATCTCTGCAGTCCCCGGTAAGCTCAGGAAGCCTAACACCATGGGGTTAGCATGTACGTTATCTTCAAGATGTTACTCAATGTATGCTACACACAAAACTATGCTTTCTGAAGCAGGCCTAACCCCCAGTGTCCTCAGTACATTGGCCAAGAGGAGCCAACAGGAGAACCTGAAGGAATCCCTAGAAGTGACCTTTCAATTTCGGAAAAAGACTCGAACCCTGTACCGCTCAGGTTAGTCCAGAAAGGTAGAAGAAACTGTAGCTCTGTGCAAAGTGTGGCCCAGGAGATGCTGGGGTAAGGTTAGTCACTTTTTTGCATGTTTCTCTTTGTTCATGGCAGCACCAACATCTCTGACCCCAGAAGGGAAGACCAGGCAAGCTGTCTTGTGTTGTTAGACCTGGAGAGAAGAGTCAGAATGCATATATCACACTATGCATGCTGAAAGGCATGGCTCTTGCTTTGGCACCCATGGGCGTACCTGCTATGGATGCCCAGTGGGCACCTCCTTTTCTTCTCTCCTGCTGTGGTATCTAGCCACCCCCCTTTTTCTGCAGACCAGCTGGAGGAGCTAGAACGGATATTCCAGGAAGACCACTATCCAGACGGTGACAAGCGTCGAGAGATTGCCCACATGGTGGGGGTCACCCCTCAACGCATCATGGTAAAGGGGGGCTGTTGGTCAGTGGGGTGAAATGGTAGCTGCTGGTCAGAGCTATCAGAGAGGGGGGGCATGTGTTCAGTCTCAGCTGTGATAGAGACAGAAGTTAGTCTCAGATGCAGGGGTGTCCCAACTGATCCATGGGCCACAGCTTTAACCAATTAAATGAGAAAGAAGGATACCACAGAGATCTTTTTATATTTCTAAGCTAAAAGGTAGCTGAAACCAAGTAAAGTCTCCTCCACAGTGACACCCAAGACAGTCTCTGCCAGCATTCTCAAGTTTCAGGTGCCCTTCCTCTGTCCATAGGTGTGGTTTCAGAACCGTAGGGCAAAATGGCGAAAACTAGAGAAACTGAGTGAGAAGGAGACTAAAGACGGTTCTGTAGCCCCCAGTGCTGACAGCAGTCAACGCAGGTGAGAATAGCTGCTGGGTTGTTCACACCAAGCAGAAGTGGGGTGCACATAAAAGTTCTGGGGGTCTTGTTGGTAGCTGGGTGTGAGTGCTCGGGGTTACTGTCTAATCCTTCAAGGAATTTGAGCTGGGCTTGCGTCAAGGAGTTGCTGGTGCCTTTGAGTGGCCCTTTCCTTGCACCACTTCTGAGTTCTAAATCCAGTGGCCATAGAAGCTACAGCCTTGTCTGTTCTGCCTCCAGGTCTGCTCCTGAGCTCCTAGCTACTATGCCAACAGATCTAGAACCTGGCCCCATTCCTCCAGAGCACATTTTGGATGCCTTGCCAGGTCAGTTACCACTTTCAGAACGTTTCCCTGGGTGGGGGAAGATGAAAGCTAAGAAGACAGTTGGAACAGAAAGTCCCTGCTCCATAGCGGTAGCCATGGGGACAGCTCTCCAGGGTCCTGTGCCCGGGTTCCCTGGCTGTTGCACTGCCTGCCATTCAGCAGGATCCTAGATGCTTCTCTATCCCCACCTTCTTATGCTGAAAGGTCCTGTTTGCCATACTTTCCTAGAGCCCCCCATGCTGCTGGCTTCTGACCAGACTCAGACCCCCTCTCAGCGCAATGAGGGTGCTCAGAGGATGGCAGTGACCCCACCACTCTTCAGCCCCCCACCTCTTCGAAGGACCAACCTTCCTCCTTCCCTTAGTCCTGTCCACGTTCCTCAAGTGATGCCTCCACTGAGGGACATTCCTGGAAGTAACAGCATACAAAAGGACAGGCCCTGTGGGTCCTGGGGTACCAGGTACGGGATAGAGGGGAGAGGGAAAGGCTGAGAGGGCTTATGTGTTGCAGAGTTAAAAGATGTGTTGAGTTTACGGTAAGAATGATCTAATTCTTTGTAGCAATAGAAGAGAAAGAATGAGAAGCAGTGAGCAGGGGGTTTGTGGTGGGAGGAGGAGATGAGGCACTGGCGACAATCCAGGGTTTGATGTTGTCACAGAGATGGAGAAAAGGGGAGGGGGTTAAGAGGGAATGGTCTTTTTACTGGGAATGAGGTCACTAAATACTCCGCTGTCCCCCCACAGCATCACCTCCCCACCCACCTGCTCAAATTTGGAAGACCTGGGGCCTCAGGATTATCAAGCAAGCAGCCAGCTGGGTTCATTCCAGTTCTCGCAGGCTCCGCAGACCCCTCTCTTCCCACCCTTTCAGCCCCACTTTCCTTATCTGCCCCCCTTCCCTCTGCCCATTCCAAGCTTTCTACCACCGGAAGACTCTCTTTTCTCACTTCCATTTGGCCTCAGTGGGGACACATCGCAGGATTATTGCCCAGGGCCGCCACCAGGTCAGATCTTGCTACAGCCACCTACTGGAAATATGGGTGAGTTGGTACTGGAAAGGAAGATTCCCCACTTTTGTCTGAAGTTGAGAAAGACACAATGCCTCCTTAATCTAGAAGGCAGAATGAGGCAGATCATGGGTAGTGAGCAAACCTCTGGCCCCTGCTTGTAGCGACTGAAAAACTTCAGTTGCTGAAGGATTTGGTGACTATTAGAAATAATGAACAAAAAGGACCTGGTACAGAAATGGCAGCAGCCATTATGCCAAACTCCCTAGACTTCTAAAACTCCCAAAGCCCTCCATCATGAATGAAAGAGATATCTGGTGGTTCTAGATCTCCTTGGTGCCTATAAGGGCCAGCTCTTGGCCTTGACCTATGGTCTACTAAGTCCCAGGGCCTGGAATTGAGCCTGTCTGTTCCTGGGGGAGAGGCTTGTGTTAATGATTCACCCAGGCTGCACTAGGACCTAAATCTTGGGCCTGAAGAAAGAGACTCACACAATTTGTTTTCAATGTTTTTTTTTAATGGGAAATATGTTTATTTTGAAATTATTTTAGTTTAGAAATACAAAACCTCTTGGGGAGGGGAAAAGGAAAGAAAAACACAAAGTATACAGGCAACTTTTTACTTCATAAGCTTCTCACACCCTCATTTGCTCCTAGTTCCCGCAAAGAGAAAGCACTCAGCCACCCACAATAATGCTATTAATAGGGATATGGATCCGTTTCACAAGAAGCCGATGAATCCCATGATAGCAAATCCTTATGGCTGTGGCAATGGCAATCTTCTGGAATTCTTTTCTGTCGGGCATGGTGCATCCTTTAACCAGCTGAATTGAGTCCTTTACTAACTGCTGACTTGGCTCAACAAACTGCATTACCTGATCCAGGACTGATTGCGGGATGGCGGCTTGAGGAGGCAAAGACACGTAGCTTAGGAGAGGACCGGTTTTCAATGTTTTCAGTCATGTCCAATAATTCCCATATTCTTTGATTCCACAGGTCCAGGGCCCTGGAGTGGCCATTGTTTGCCAGAACCTCCCTTCCCTGGTCCACTCTGCCCACAGACTCTGGGACCCCCTATGGGGGCAGAGGGCTACTTTCCAGACCTGCTTCCAGCTCCGTGTGCTCAGCCTATAAGCAAACACCTTCCATTAGAACTCAATGGGCTTGCTGAAGGCACTAGACCAGAGACAGGGTCCTCACTGAACAAAACGCCAGAACAGCAGACAGCCTCTTCCCTTGAGCAGCCCACACGAGAGGAAGTGAGGGACAAGATTAAGAATAGCCATGGCCCTGGGACTAAAGAGTGAAGAGAAGGTCCTTGTCGGGGGACTGTGGAGAAGAACAGGATTGAGGCACTCGTGCAAAGAGCAGGACTTAACGTTCAGAAAGGCTATGGACTGGCCTAGTATGGGAGCCCAAGGTCTTCCTACTCTAGGTTTTATGAAGGAAGAGAGCTGGCATCATTTTTTTTTTCCTTTAACCCTTAGAAGTTCTGAAGAGAATTGGGCCATGCTACTTGTAAATGTTACATCACTTTCTGTGACTTTAGTTCCTTCCTAGACGTTGAGGTGGTGTCCAGTGTATGCAATAAAACAGTAACTATTGGGTGTTTTTCTGTGAATGAAGAGCTGTGCTTCTAACTACTTCTGTGTTGGGAACAGTGAGCCCCCAGATCCTGTTTCTTGTAAACAACTTGTTTTCCCCTGATCTGAGTGCCTACAGCTGCTCTGAGCAAGAGACCTTCAGGAGTTCCTGATGACAGGAGAGTGGTTTCTGGTGGGTTTGGCTGGGGCGTGGCTATCTCTATATAGTCTGCCCTGAACACAATAAAGGGGGCATTCATGGGGCATTCTGGCATCAATGATGACCTGTGTCTCTCTCTGTGAGTCTTTGTGTGTTTCAATCTCTAGCCCCTTGCCCAGTTCACGATCTGTATGGTGGAGCATAGAGTGCAGACAGGCGCCGGGCGCCACACTTCTGGGTGTTTCTTAGATGTAACCTTTAAAGGAGTTCCCCACTGTGTATCATTGTCCGGAGCCTGGCATTTTTATGGGTCTATTTCTTCACTAAAGAGGGATTTGGGCACCTTATGATTTTTCCTTTAGTTCTGCTGCTAAAATAGTCTATTCCCAAACCCCAAACTGAAAGCGAGTCTGGGCTCCTCAAATTTGGGCCTTGCAGGATCACTGGAGAAATGTGAGTGCATGGAAGCTATTGGATGTGGGCATGAAGCTGTATAACTCTTGTTACTGTGAATCCTAACTTCCCCCCAAATTATTTTCTGATGAAGGGTGGGGATAATAGGAATAAAGAATGAGGTGTGGAGGATACCTGAAATAGTATAGCAAGAAGGCAGTTCTTCCCTGGCTAGGGTGATGTCATAGTATGTCTTATTTTAGATAGCACTGACCTCACCGGGTTGGGATGAAGGTTCCAAGGGTCTTTCTGTCTTCTACACCATAGCTGGGAAAGGAACCAAAAGAATGTGACTAGGTACCTGGAAAGAATATATATGCTAATACCTACAGATTCTTAACTCAGCCACAGTCTGAAGTTGTGCAGGTCTGTTTGTTTATGGCTACTCTTTGTGATTGCGAGTTAATCTAGGCAGCTATGGTAATGGTTTGGGGTATGGGAAGAAGAGAGAAAACAGGAGGTTGACAAAAGAAAAATCTCAATGACTAGACAAGGGGTCAAGAGCTCAGGAGGGAATGGACAGAGCATAAGAACATGCCTGTGTATGCTTGCCTGTCCTCCAGTCATTGCAGACAAACTTCAGGCCTGCATAAGGGCTAAGTACTTCTTTTCTCATATGGACAAACTGGAGCAATGACCGATTCCACAACAAAGGAAAAATATTAGTTATACTGGTTCTGTGTATGAGTTTTTGCGTTAGTATAATGGTAAGATGGTGGGTGTACAGTTTGTATGAGAAAGTAAAGGATAGTAATGATGTAAGAGAGATGGATTCAAATGAAAGAGACTGTAGGAAATAACAAGACATGGACTGGGTGAGAGATTTCATTCTGTGATTATTCTCTTCTATCCTCAAATTCTACTAAAGAAGAAAAGTAATGTCCAGATACAGAAACGGTAAGGTGAAGGGACCCGAAGGTCCAAGGTAAAAAAGACTAGATCATGAGACCCAGAGAAAATAGTTGGGAGGAGCAAAGAGATTCCAGGTGAAAAGAAGCTCAAACTGAAAATAGGCACCCAGAGAAAACTGGGGGTTCATAGCTTCAAAGGGGGGAAATAGAGAGCAGAGTTCTGAAGATCAGTATTCTCACACAGGAGGAGGCTTCAAGGAACTGAAAGATGAGTTAGGGAGATAGGTGCAAATTTGTCTTTCGGGGTGCAGAAAGCCACCAGGGAACGTGCTCATGATGGGCTGAAATGAACACGGAGGGCAGGTGGATGTGCGTAGCTGGAAAGTGTAAAGAGAACACAACGTGAGGGAACTACATTTGTGAGTACCGATTAAGTGAGCAGAAGAGGGACATGTAAGAAAAGGAGAGGGGAGATAAGGAACTTGGGGAGAATTCAGGGAGGGTGGGTGAGCGGGCATCAGGACAGTGAAGACAAGAGTGTACCATGGAACAGCAGGGAGAGGTAACAGGGAGAAGGAGACTGGGTTGTAAGGAGCATCGTGAGATCTGTGTTCATATGGAGACGGATGGTCACCCACAAGTCTACAGTGCGGGAGGCAAGGAAGAAGAGGTGGATCTAACAGGAAAGGATTGCTATGGCTGTAGCAGATGGGAGGGTGCACCCTGCAAGTAGGAAGGGTGTTTCTAATGGGAAACCAAGGTGCAGGTGACTTGAATGATATTCAGAGAATGCAAGGAATGTTAAGGTCAAAACTATTGTCACAGGAGTTAAGTGATGGGGAGACATGGAAAAAAGAATTTGCCTACATGAATGACAGATCTATAAGAGTCTAGGAAGGGAAACATCAGTGGTCATATTAAGAGTGTATTATTCTCAGCACTGAATGGCAGCTGGATTAAAACGGCCAATTCTCAGAAAGCTTTTAGGGAGCACATAACAGTTCAGTCTTGTATCCCCTTTTCCATGTCTTTTCAGCTATGAATCAACCTCCCTGTAAGTTAAAGATATATTTATCATCCAACTCTTGTAGCCCACGTTTCCTAAATTAGGATTTGCTTTGATTATTGAATAATTTTTTTTCACAGAAAAACACTCTCACAATGGACTGTTTACATATTCACCAAAATAGTTCTGGGTTCCATGGCTATAAGAACCACCAGAGACCACTTTTTAGATGTGGAAAAGAACTATCTTTGGTACACAGTCACCTTCTCCATTGATCTTTGAGGTAGCCCTTCAAATTCACAGCTTTAGATTCAATCATCTGCAATCCAAAACTATTTGGAAGAAAATAGAATCTGTACTGAGCATGTGTAGATATTTTCCTTGTCATTTAGCATACTATTTGCATTGTTTGGGGTATTATAATCAAGACATGAGTCGAAGTATATGAGAAAATATGTATAGATTGTGTGCACGCTGACATTGCAGCAGAGGGACTTGAACATCTACCTATTTTTTGCATCCCAGGGAATCCTAGGATTAATCTTACATGAATGTATGGGAATTTACAAACTAAGTTGGAAAATGCAGCCTAGTGTTGTAATTATCAATTCTTTGCCACTCAAGGGTCATAGCACCAGCAGTGCCCTTACCTTAGGCATTCAAATGTATAGCCTGGAATATGGATGTCTCTTATTATGGGCACAAGGAAGTCTTTTAAAGGAGACATTTCACAAATCCTTTTGATTTACATTTGGTTTCATAAGGCCCAGGAAATGCGCAACCTTGAAACAGATAAGTGAGAAAAAGACTTTTTGTTCTCATCGGGTATCACCTATTCAGTTGTTGTCAAAACTCAAACTTGGGGGCTGGCTCAGTGGTTAAGAGCACTGACTGCTCTTCCAGAGGTTCTGAGTTCAATTCCCAGCAACCACATGGTAGCTCAGAATCGTCTGAAATGAGATCTGGCGCCCTCTTCTGGTGTGTGGCCATACATGCAGGCAGAATGTTGTATACATAAGAAATAAATCTTAAAAAAAAAACCCTCAAACTTGGTAGAGATATAGTCTAGTTAGCACTCTGTGTTTTCCTACAGCTTGGGATTGGTTTGGACTCCTTTCAGTGATTGGTAGCACCCTGTATATGGCAAATGTGCGTGTGTGCGTGTGCACACATGTGAGTTTGCACCTGTGTGATTGTGTGCATATGTGAGTGTATGTACAAGCATGTGGGTGGAGTGTGTATGCTCCCACCCCCACACATACAAATTTTGAAAACTGAAACTCAGTGAACTTCAAGATGTAGCCTAATTGCAACTCTTAGACCACATGTTAGACAATATAAACATACTTTTACTAAAAATAGACATAAGTATTGAAAGATAAAAAATGAAAGGTGGCCTGAAGACAGGAAATGAGTGTTCTTTAGAAGCCTAGAAACTAGAAATTGAAGAAACTTCCTAGGCTGTTAAGCCCGAACTACTGACACACCAGAAGCACTCGTACCCCATCATCTCTATGACATCTTAACAGCCTGGGTCTTTGTAGGTGCTAGTTCACAAAACTCTTGAACAAATTGCCTCTCAAGTTCTTGATTCTGGGAGGAAACCAAATCTAGCTTCCCAGAATAGAGCGGAGTTTAGTTCTCCTGAGGCAGAACAAAGAATAAACTAAAGCCGGGACCACTGGGGATGGTGTGCAATCCCTGAAGGCCTCTCATTCTTCAGACATACCGGAAATGCTTTGCTCAGCCTTCACACAGCTTGGGCTCCAGGGTCCTTGTCTCTGATCAGGTGAATGTGATTTTCTATTGTTCCTCAGGAATGAGGGCAATTTCAGGTCCGGACCTTACCTCACCAAAAGCTGTCTGTGTTGCTTACTGCAGACTGTCATCTCCATCTAATAGGATCTCTGCTAACGGGGTCTCTAGTAAAGAACATTGGTGAGGTGTTTTGTTGGTCCCTGCAGCATGGTCATATTCTTACCAATTACAGCCTCCAGGACATTTTAGTAAAAGGTGTTTTGAGGCTAATTCACTCCCAATTTGTACTTGGAGAAATAACATCTCATCTCAGATCTAAATATGCTAAGATTTGTGTCGCCTGTTCAGCTTTATTTGGTTAGTTATAGCTCTTCGTGATCTTAAGATGTTTTGAAATCCTTGTGGGATACTGCCCATCTTAGAATTTCTTATTCTATTTGAATTTTTTCTAATTTTTTCTAATTGAAAGTGGGTTTTTTTTTTGGATATTTTATATTTCACCCATTGCTAAACTAATAAGCAGGACAATAAGGGTGCATTAGATAGTCTGTCATTCACCTGGAAAATAATCTATTACTGGCACTTTGTGTTAAACTAGCCATGTATCTTCATCGGTACTATCATCCAAAGCCATCTTTTGTTAGCTTTTCCAAAATATTATGTTCAGAGAACCTGCTTTTATGACCCAATAAAATCAACATATTTTCTGTAATGCAACCAGATGTCAACCTAATGACATAACAAATGCTTTGCACTTCAGGGACACCCACTATCTTTTATGCCTGTAAGAACAGTGTGATTTGAATGAGAATGGTCTCCATAGGTTCACATATTTGAAGGTTTGGTCCCCATTGGTGAACTGTTTGGGAAGGATTAGGAGGTGTGGCCGTTTTGGCAGAGGTGTATCACCAGGGTGGGATGTCAGGTTACAAAAGTACCCGTCACTCCCAGTTAGCTCTCTGTTTCATGCTTGTGAATCAAGATGTGAGCTCTCAGCTACTGCTCTAGCACCATGCCTGCTGCCATGTTTCCACT